TCAGAGCCTTCAACAAGTTGTAATCATTTGCTGGTGGAGTCTCTTACCTTCGATTTGTAAAAACGGCAGTAAGTGAAGTGCAGTAAAACGGGGTGTGCCTGTATTGAATCACGCAAAGTCCCTGTTCTCGCAGAGCTTACTCTTGGTCTTCACATAGATCCGTTTTTAGGGAAGATCCTCTTCATCTAGGAAATTTTAAATAGAAAAGGGAACTTTTTCCTCTCTCATTTCTAGCAGAACAGACTCAAGGGTAGTGAATTTTCTTTAGGCCCAGTGATGGGTGGCAGCGGTGGAGAAGGAAATAAACGGCTGCCCCGGGCCCACGCTGTGGCGGCGGGAGGAAGTCCAGGAGCCATGTTGGAATGAAACTGTCCAGAGGAGCTGGACAGCCAGGAGCAGTGTGTGTCGCGCTTCTGACCTCATCCCTGCAGGCCTCCTGGCACTGTCCTCTCCCACCCTGGACCACTAGGCCCTAAGGTTTGGGAGGAATGTCCTCTGCCTTGCCTGATGCGGGAAGTCGATTGGGGAGAGGTCCTTTTCCCTCAGAAGGGAGGAGAATGTGTTCTTGGCAGCTTGTGTTGAAGCTCTGAACACAGGGCTACCTCTACAGTAACCATCTAGGTAACATAGACTCTTGTAGACGGGCCTCAGCCCCTCACCATCATGGCTGGTATGTCAGTTGTGTTCAGTGCATGTAACAGAGACTTGACTACCATGGCTTACGTAGTAAGGTTTTCATTTTTCTTAACATAACAGGAACTCAGGACTGAGACACTTTAGGGCAGGAATTGCAGTTTAGCAATCCTTGTCTTCCTCTCTCACTTCTTTATTGTCTTCATGGTCACAAGATGATTGCTGAATCCCTGGGCATCAAGAAGGCAGCCGGCCAAAAGCTACCTTAAGAGGCTTTGTCTTTTTATTTGGGAGGGATCCCTGTCGACTTCTGTCTCTATCTGACCGGCTGCCACTGTGTTGCACAGCCATCCCTAGCTGCAGAGTTGGGACTTAGATAGGAATCAGGTTGTGTTAGGAAGGATGAAGGGGTTTATATGTGTTAAATAGGCAACTATCTGTGTTTCCACTAGGGTTTTTAAAAATATTAATAAAAGTGTTTTCAACGTTTCCAAATAAACTCATAGAATGTAATGTGTATTTAAAATGGGGCTATTAGCCTAACAGGTTTGGCTCAGTGGATAGAGCGTCGGCCTGCAGACTGAAGGGTCCCGGGTTCGATTCTGGTCAAGGGCATGTACCTTGGTTGCGGGCACATCCCCAGTAGGGAGTGTGCAGGAGGCAGCTGATCGATGTTTCTCTTTCATAGCTGTTTCTGACTCTCTATTCTTCTCCCTTCCTCTCTAAAAAATCAATAATAAAAAAAAGATACTATCTCCTATAAAAAATAAAAATAAAAAATAAATAAAATGGGGCTATTAACCACCAATTTTAACATAATTACTTTGGAAAGAGTCCTTTCGTATCCCAATAGACAATCTTAATCCCTCAATAGAGTCTTAGTAGTGAAAGGGAGAATTATCCCCATTCCTTTATTTAATGGGATGTGAACTAAAAGGAGTCAGAAAGGAAGTGAGCTCCCGGGACATGGCCTTCAGTGGGAGCGCTGGGCCTGGCAGCACCAGCAGAGCAGCGGGGACTAGGGCCTTGCTGATGGGGTGGGGATGGAGGAGGGAGACAATGAGTGTGAAATGAGGTTATATTTTTGCACCCAGTTTATATCTGGGGATAGTAAGCCTGGTGTTGATAGCAACTGATTATATTAATGGAAAAATATCAGTCACTTCTTATCTGAATATGCCTATTTCCTGTCGTTTTTAAAATGAAATTCATCACACTGACTTTTTTTTTTTCCTTTGAAGGAAACATAATAAAGTTTACTGGATCGCTTATTTTAGGGTAAGTGTCAACAGTGAAATACTAATTGGCTTCATTATACTGTTATTTGAGATCTCAATGGAAGTGGTTTACAGTTCGCATGGGGGAGTGAAAGGGTGTAGATCTTGGAAGTAGGTGGATTCATCCCTGGCTAGTCACTGGCTCTACCACGTCGGTGTCATCGCTCAGCTACTTTACCTTCTGCGTACTGGTTTCTCTTGGTCCAAGTGTACGATGGGGATCCTGCCCACGGCACTGTTACTCCGAGGGAAGCACCTGACACTGACAGAGCAGGGACTCACTACGTAGCTGTCACACACCGAAAACCACATCTGGTCTCAGGTTCTAAAGTGGGGGAAGAAGGTGAAAATCAGCTATAGTCAAAATTAGTTTGGGCCGAAACTGGTTTGGCTCAGTGGATAGAGCGTCGGCCTGCGGACTGAAGGGTCCCGGGTTCGATTCCAGTCAGGGGCATGTACCTGGGTTGTGGGCACATCCCCAGTAGGAGATGTGCAGGAGGCAGCTGATCGATGTTTCTCTCTCTCATCGATGTTTCTAACTCTCTATCTCTCTCCCTTCCTCTCTGTAAAAAATCAATAAAATATATTTAAAAAAAAATTAGTTTGGAAAATCCTCTGAATCACCATAAAGCTGTTATGAAAGGAAATTGAGGCTGATTTAGAAAAGCAATTGATTGACATCTCCCATCTCGTGCTATTTCAGAGGCACTTGCTTAATGAATGGAGTGATTCTCTTTCTGGAAATTGTATTTTTATTCTTTTTTTTGGGGGGTGGGGAGTGACATGTTAGATGCATGTCTCATACTGCTCTAGTATTTTTTATTAACAATAGTCTATAAATATAAAACCAGCTCTTGATGCTAAAATGATAAAGGAGATGTATTTGGCACTTTATCCAAATATATACATTTCTCTATGACATCGTAAGGTCAGGCAAAGCATATTTAGAAGATTTTTCCCTTTGACTTATTCTAGGCAAAAGGTAAATGAGTACTCTTTTGTAAAGTAGTTTCTTTGTTTATATCGCAGTTATATTCAGGAATAGAATGGAAATTAATCACACAATTTTTAGTTAAAATTTTTGTCTTTCAGGGAAAGCATGATAAAAATGCTGAATACATTGTCTCTTTTTGGCTGCTCAGATAGATAGATCCCCAAGAGAGAAGAGGGCTCTTTTCAGCCTTGGCTCTCTTCCTCTGGTGCCAGCAGTGTCTGGCCATTTTGTTTTCCCTGCTTTTGCTCTGGGTTAGGAAGTTCAGGAGAACGCTTTAATTAGTATTATACTAAGGGCAGCCTTTGTGTCTGGATCAAGGGAGTGTGCAAGTCAATCTGATTCAGGGGAAAAAATTTCATTTGGGGATACACAACATCAGAGGTGACATTTAAAAACTGACTTTAGGTATAACTCGTAGGAGAGGAGACACTTTCATATGTTGGTGATCCAGTACAAATTGACTAATCCTTTGAAACCACAGTTTGGCATTACATAGTAAAGTGGAATCATAATGTGCTGTCAGCAAGTCTGTAATTCTGCTTCTAGATATGTACCCTACAGGAACAAACACGTGTGTGTAGTGCACCTGGGTGTGACGTGCAATGGTGTTGGTAATAGACCCAAACTACAAAGTCCCTAAATGCCCATCTGGTAGAATGGGAAAATAACTTGTGGTATATTCATACGGTGATGAATCACAACCATAGGAAAATATAAATGCATGAACCGGATACATGCAGCGACATGGATGAACCTCACAGAGGACTGAACAGAGAATACATACAGTGTGATTCCATTCTTGTGAAGTTCACAGGCAGACAAAACTGCTGTTTAAGGACCCATATGCAGATGGTAAACTATGAAGAAAAACAAGGCTATTATTATAATGAAGTCAGAATAATAATTAGCTATGGAGATGAGAGAGTGCGTCAGGATCAGGAAGGGACCCACTGTGGGCTTCTGGGATACTTGTTATTCACGTTCTGTTGTTGTTTTTTTGCCTGGATATGGTAATGTAGCTATTTATTATTATTTGTTAAACTGAAACGTGTATACTTTACACATATACTTTGCATATATACAAATATATGGTATATGCACATTATTGCATATATATTGTTTTCCAATAAAAAAGAAAAGTTAACTATTATCTTTTTAAGTTAACTACTTAAAGCTTAATAAAAGAGTGACTCTTGTGTTACATTTAGATCATATATTTATGATGAATTTTTTGTTTTCTTTTTAGAAGTTCGCTATTTCTTACATATGAACTTCTGGCCCTGAAGAAGTCTTTGACATTAGATACTCAAGTGGTAGAAAGAGAAAAAATGAAGTCATATATATGTATGCACACAGTTTTAGATGAAAGAGAAAATCATGGTAAGTTTTATGGTAAAGTAATCCTATTTTTGTGACAAATGGAAGCTAGTTATTGAATTTAGAAATGAATATTTAAAACACATTATAAATAAGGTAGGTTCAGCTGACTTTAAGAATCACCAGACCCTGTGAGAACCAAGTCCCTAAAGAGTTCATTGGAGCCCAAGTTTTGGGCTTCCATATTTAGCCAGGTTTTCAGTTCTCCTGTAACAAGGTGAAGTGAAAGCTAGCAAGCTGTTTCAGGGTAAACTTGGAGTTCCCCACCTTAGTGGGGACATCAGTCCAGAGGCTGGCCCTCAGTTTGGCATGATTTTGTCACTTGGAGATACTTCTGATTTAAGGGATTTATTTATTCACTGTGCACACTAAACTGGAGAGATGGATTCATAAATATGAATACAAACTTATTTACACAGGGAAAAATCTGTCTTGAAGGCTAGAAAACCTGTTTTTACTAGTCAGAACATTCCTCTTCTCCATAGTTAGGTTACAGGGAAACCTAATTAGTAATCAGACGATTGCTTGGTGAACATGAAATTTGAGAGCAGAGGAGTATCGTTCCATGAAGATGTGGGTAGTCTGGTGAGTCACCACCCTTGACTTGGAGCTGCGTGTTCCTGCACTGTCAGCCAGAACAGCCAGGCCTGCTAGTACATGATGATTCCTGAGTGGGCAGGTTCTACTGCTCCCTGTCCACAAGCTGTGTGTATTATCATTTAACCTTCCTGTATTTCAACTTTTATGGTGTTACAATTTCACTTACACAGATCATTTTTATAGCTTATAATTTACCTATATAGTGAAGCTTAATCTCAGGAGATATCTCCAAATTTTAGTTTGAGAGGGACTATATTTAAGGGACATTTTCCTGAATGTAGCTACTCCTGTGCTGTATATGAGGATTTTTGTTAAATTTAGTGTTTCTGTTTCTGTTTTGTTTTTCACCTTTTCCCTGACTTGGAGAGCAATCTTATTTTGGGATTTAGAACTCTATGTTCCCATAATGGGTTTTAGTTGCTTCAGTCGATGTGACAGTAAAAACAGAAAGATGCTATTTTATACTTTCTTTTTGAAAAAACCTAGAGTTTAGTTATATTTCTCTTTGAAGTATTAGAACTTGGCATTAAGAGTACATACTTGATGTTATTTAAATTTGTAAACACTTTAGGACTCATTTACCAGGCGCGGAAAGAGCTTCACAAAACAGTAAGAAGAATATTGGCAACCTCAGCCAAGATATTACGGGGTCCGTTTGCTGGTAGGTATCAAGTCTTTAACTGGGAATCCTGATCAGTATTCTTAAAGTCATTCGATGGTCTGCCTAAGACATTGTTCCATTTCATGTACTAACATTTATTACAGCAGTGAAATCTTGGGCTATATTAAATTTTAAGCCTTAATTCCTTAAACAATTTTTTCCTTCCATCTTTGAGAATGTATTGTTAGATATTTGTAAATAAATATTGAGACTAAATATACCCTCTTCAATATTTAAAATTTGTTAAGAAATCTCTCTCATGGTTTCTCGTAATGAGAATACTGCATGGAAAATGTAGATTTCACAATCAGCAACTCTGCAGTGTAGAGCTAGCTATAAAAGAACAGAACAGATCTCTTTCAAAAGTTGACGTCATGAAAAAGAAAAGGTGGAAAGCTTTCTAGAATTAAAAGAGACTAAAGAGGCTTAAATCCTGGTTTCAAAAACAGCTTTCAAGACATTTTTGGGACAATTGAAGAAATTTGAATATGGAGTTAGACTGGAGTTTAGATAATTTTGGAGGATATTTTTGTGTTCTTGAGTGTTACAATGGCATTGTGATTATATATAGAATGCAGACTTATTTTTAGGAGATTTAGTGTGACCTATGAAAGGGTAAAAGTCATAGGTCTACAACTTCCTTTTACATAGTTTAGAAAAATATATAGGTGTATGCATATAGATTGAGCAAATATGACAAAATAAGTTTTTAAATCTAGCTGTGGTAGGCAGATGGGTATTAATGTATTATTCTTTTAATTCTTTCATATGTTTGATTTCTTTTTTAAATATGTTTTTTATTGATTTTAGAGAGAGAGGAAGGGAGAGAGGAAGAGAGAAACATTGATTGGTTGCCTCCCATATGTACCCCAACTAGGGCTTGAACCTGCAATCTGGGTATGTGCCTTGACTGGGAATCGAACTGGTGACCTTGTGGTGCATGGGACGATGCTCAACCAACCGAGTCACATTGGCCAGGGCTGTTTGATATTTTTTTAAAATATTTTTTAAATATATATTTTATTGATTTTTTTACAGAGAGGAAGGGAGAGGGATAGAGGGTTAGAAACATCGATGAGAGAGAAACATCGATCAGCTGCCTCCTGCACACTCCCTACTGGGTATGAGCCCGCAACTAAGGTACATGCCCTTGACTGGAATCGAACCTGGGACCCTTGAGTCCGCAGGCCGATGCTCTAACCATTGAGCCAAACCGGTTAGGGCTGATATTTTTTTATAATGAAAAGTTTTTTAGGGAAAAAGAAGAAAAAAAAAAAAGATCACATCAGTTATTATCAATACCTGGAAATAGATTTAACTCTCCTATTGTAGATTTCAAATATTTATAAATTACCACTTTACATAAATGGGAGGATAGCCCTCGCTGATTTGGCTCATTATATAGAGCTTAGGCCTGCAGACTGAAGGGTCCTGGGTTCGATTCTGGTCAAGGGCACATACCTCGGTTGCAGGTTCGATCCCAGGCCCCAGTAGAGGTGCATGCAAATCGATGTCTCTCCCACACTGATGTTTCTCTCTGTCTCTCCCCTCCTCCCTTCCACTCTCTCTGAAAGTCAATGGAAAAATATCCTTGGGTGAGGATTAACATAAATAAATAAACAGGAGGATAAAAATGTTTGTATCTGTTCACATTGCTCACATTGTCTTTTTCTTTCTTTTTGCAAAGACACTTTTAGCACAGTTGACATGGAAGATCATGAATGTGCCGCATGGCTGCTCCTGAAGAGGAGCAGGTCAGGTGACAGGACGGCCCGGTTGCAGGCTGTGCAGGCCATGTCGGAGGCCCACCACTGGCATGGTAATGACCCTCAGCACATGGCAGCCCACTAGCCAGTTCTCCATTTCTGATATAAAAGAGAAGGGAATGAGATTTTAAGGAAGGAAATAATTCAGGTAATCTAAAAATATATTACAAATATTTCCAGAAATTAAAAAAAGAAACTCCAATGCAAACCCACTGGCCTGGTAAGCAGATGTGTTTGGTAAGAACAGCCTCAAAACTGAGGTCGATCTCTTTGTGTAACTTTGTAGCAGAACAAAGTGTTATTTGATTAGAGAAACTCTTGATTCTCATAGTTATGGCCTCATGTTGTATTACATTTTCTTGTGGTTCCTATTTAATGAAATACATTTTAATTGCTTGCTGCACCGTAGCATTATATTTGCTTTCACTTGACAATTGGCCTAATACTAATAATTAGTTAAATGTATCTGGTTCATGTATATCTATCATTGTAAGGGGTATTTAAAATACTTACTTGTATTAAAACCCACAGGTTTTACAGTAAAAATACTCAGCAAGAACTCAGATTCTAGTAGGGATGAATGTACACTTTGAGTAATGTCATCTCATAAAAATGGGTAAACAAATAGAAAAAATAATGTTCTCAAAGAAAAGTCTCAGAATAAGATCTCTGCCTCCATACTAGTTAATCAGTTGATTGATTGGTGGCTGTAATTATAATTAAATTAACTTATTTCATAATGTTAATGGACACTTAGAATAAAAATCTTTTTCAAAATCTGCCTTCTGGGACTCCAGCTCAGACTTACTGTATCAGAAACATCAGGGTTGGAGTCCTGGCATGTGTATTGTGAAATGTTCCCCACACGATCTTGAAGAACTCACCAGATTAGGAACTGCCATCATTAAACAGAGTGTCTGCTTCAGTGGTTGGATTTTGCTTTGATACATTTCTTAGTCTATTTGGGCCACTATAACAAAGTACCATAGACTGGATTTCTCACAGTCTGGAGGCTGGAAGTACAAGATCAGGCTGAGTTGGGTGTCTGGGAGGCCCTGCTTCCTGGTTCATAGCTGGCCACCTTTTCTTTGGGTCCGACCTGGCAGAAGGGACCTGGCAGCTCTCAGGGGTCTCTTTTATAAGGGCACTGATTTCATCATGACTACTCACCCCAAAGGCCCTTCCTCCAAATGCCATGACACTGGGGATTAGGTTTCAACATATGGATCTGGGGGGACACAAACGTTCAGTCTGTAGCAATTGATAAAGAATGGAGTGGTGAATCATGAAGGCTAAGATAAAGTACCTCATACACTACACCAGGGGTGGGGAACATTCAACCTGCGGGCCAGGTAAGGCCCACAGAATCATTTGGTCTGGCCCTGCAAAGGCATTAGGGGTGAGTTAATTAAATGCTTGACCAAACATAGCAGGCTAATTTTTAAATTGATAATTTTATATGGCCCACAAATGATGTTATAAATATCCACATGGCCCTTGGCACGAAAAAGGTTTCCCACCCCTGCTCCACATGGACATCATAGAATGAAGGTATCATACTGTTACCAGAACAATAGACCTAACTGCAATTGCAGGTTTTGGAGTAGCAATCAAAACAGCTTTTGAAGGCTAGAATTATTTTTAAAGAGAAGGTAAATTGGTTCTCACCTATTAACTTTCACATTTGAAGTTCCTCTTTTCAAAAATGTTAGTTAGACCCTGACATACCCAGATAAATGTTGAGGAGAATTGTGAGATCAGATATGGAAATGATGGGCATTTAGCTTATTGATGTTGTAGTTGTGAAAAAATACTTGGGACATATAAACTTGTAATTTAAAAATTAGAGTGCTTTCAAGTAGTTTGTCCATTTAATCCTTGAAACTCTAAGCCAATCTGGGAGCTAACGGCATACTTTTACAATAGATTACCAGTATAGGACAATCGCTCAAGCCTGCGATCTGAGAACTCGTATTGGTTTGGCACGAAGCCAAGAGAGTGATCTTCGCTTTTTTCTCCCTCCACCTCCTTTACCAGCTTTAAATGAAGTAAGTAAATAAAATAATACAGTGAGTGAAAAATTGTTTTAATATATAGTCTTCACTTTGGGTATATAATAAACATTCAAAAAGTAGTTTGTTGGCTACTTTTTACAAGCAAGTAAACAATGTCAACCTGAAACTGTAGTTTTCCTACAAAGATTTCTTGATTCCTCAGGAGATGCTGTTTCTCTGTTATTTTCCCCTTTGGGGTATCGGGGGGTCTCTTGCACCAGAGGATAACTTCATAGCATATCAGCATCCAAGAATTGGTCCCTTGATCTAAGGTTGCTTTTAGATTAGTTTATCTCAACTTCAACACTATTGACATATTTGGCCAAATACTTCTTTTTATTGGAGGGTGTCCTATGCATTGTAGGGTGTTTAACAGCATCCTGGCCTCTTCTCCTTAGATTCCAGCAGCAACTCCAAGTTGTGACAACCAAAAACGTTTGCAGATATTGCTGAATGTTTCCCGAAGTGCCAAACACAGCTGGAGAACCACTGCATAGAGTTACTGATGATGATACATGGAGATTCCAGTTGTTAGCCAGCAGTACAGATATTTGAGCATGTTTCTTGAGTACCTTTCCTAGACTAGAAAAGGAAAAATCTGAAAAGTTGCTATCAGGTTTTGAAGGATTGAAAAACGATTATACTAGGTGTAAGTTATTAGGGAAAATCAGATAGTAATGAGTTCTGGATTTTAAAAGCCAGCTTAAGTTAGAAAGTGTAATCATCATTTTGAGTCAAGAAGTGAAGTAGCCCAGGAGTGGTAATGTAGAGCTTACTTGGCGAGAGGTCAGATTGGGTAGCAGATGCGAAAGCAAAGTATTCAAAACCAAATGATATGTTTACCTGGGTGGGTGACTGTTTTTGAGACTAAAAGCACTAATTTATCTCTGCTTTTTTGTGTTTGTTTTTGTTTTTTTGCTTGTTTGGCTTTCTTTGTGTACTTTTTGTTGTGTTCAGTTGTTGAGCTTAATTATGAAGAATTTATTTTCCTTTTATTTCAGGATTCTTCCATTGAAGAAGAGCTCAGACACTTGCTGGCTTCTTTACCTCAAACGGAGCTGGATGAGTGTATCCAGTATTTTACATCTTTGGCTCTGAGTGAAAGCAGTCAGAGTCTAGCGGCTCAGAAGGTTAGTTCATCTATTCATTCTATAAATATTTCTGAGTTTCCACTCTTTGCAAGGTCTTGTGCCGGTGGCTCAGTGGTTGTCAACCTATGAACTAGGAGGTTATGGTTGGATTCCTTGTCAGGGCACATGCCCAGGTTGCGGGTCGACCCCCAGTGTGAGGGATGCAGGAGGCAGCTGATCATTGATTCTCTCTCATCATTGATGTTTCTCTCTCTCTCTCCCTCTCCCTTCCTCTCTGAAATCAATAAAAAAATATTTTTTTAAAAAGATTGCTCTCTTTTAGGAATACTTCCATGTTTTCTATTCTAGTAAGCAACAGCTTGCATAGCTAAAGTTCCCATAATATTTAGAGACATACGTATTAGTCCTTTCTAATACTGTATGTAATACAGAGATTCTTTTTTGGTTCAACAAAAAATATTAGTCATGCTTTTAGTAAAAGTTTTAATTATCTTACTTTCAGGGTGGCTTATGGTGTTTCGGAGGAAATGGACTTCCTTATGCTGAGAGCTTCGGCGAAGTTCCTTCAGTGACCGTGGAAATGTTCTGTTTAGAAGCCTTAGTAAAGCATTCGGAGGTAACTTACATTTTCAGATGTGGTTTATCTTCATGATCACATTGAAAAAATTATACATGTTCATTTAAGGGAAATTATCCTCATTTATTAGAAAAGGAAAAAAAGCTTTTTGTTTTAAAATTTCTGCTTTTCCCCCATTCATTTGTTCAAATTGATAATCATATTTTAGCAGCAGTACATGAATTTCATTCCTGCTAAATATTTCTAAAAACGGATGTAATCTTACTTGCACTTGAAGAAATCAGTGCGTTGTCTAAATACAGCATTTGTCTTTGAGTTATGCTGCCTTTTTCTACCCTTCTCAGATCATTTTTACAAGTAATATTATCACGTCATTAATTTCCATTAAAACATCTGTCCAAGGTGGTCAAGATAGAAAAAAGAAAGCACTCGAACGACCAGATTGTCAGTGATTGTCAAACTTCTTGGCATTATAACAACCTTCCTATCATGATTATAGTTTGATTTTAAAAAGAAAAAAAATAGCAAACCTCATGGTGCTCAAACATTAGTGCGTAAAAATTCACGTGTTAAAAACACCCATTTCCTGCTCACCTGTGGCAAGTTTCATTGACTGATGTGGGGTAGAGTCCGAACTTTACATTTTTGCCAGGCACCCCCGGCGAGGCTGCGGCTGGTGGTTCTGGTAAACCCACGTGGTGAGGAACGTCATCCTGCACATCCTAAACTCGCCCGTTTCATGTTGGGAACCATCAGACATGGCTCAGGACACGGGCTTTCTGGGCACCTAGTTCCCACCTGTGGAATTAGGGTCAAGGACAAAGCAGAGTAAAATGTCAGACTACCGAAGGGAATGGGGGACAACGAGCTTGAGTTTTTGTGATTTAGTCTGTATCTGAAGTAGAAGATGCATCTGCAGTAGAAGATGCGGTGCATGGAATATAGTAACCTTTCCAGAAGGTTATATTCCTTTCAGGCTTACACATCACAACCGTTAGATGTCAAAAGGCATATTTTAAATGCATGTAAAACGTGATAAAAGTTAATAACCATTTAGAGAATGAAAATTGTTGCATATACGTTAGTGACACGGTGTCGTGTCAGTGAGTACAACTAGAGATGGAAGAGGCAGGCCATGCCAGTGACCTTGGCAGACCAAATGACTTGCTGTCATTCTGTCACCTTACCTTAGTATACACATGTCCTTTGGCTTTCTTTCATCTCTCTTCTCTATTAAAAATTCACATTCCCTTTTCTTTCTATTTGTACTAGATCATTCTCTTTAAACAATTTTCTGACTCCTGAGCTCAGACAATCCCAATAGCTGTGATTCTAAGGTAGTTTTAAGCCAATCAAAGTATCACCAGAAATTGAAACAGTTCTGTAATAATGATGCTGTTAGGTTATTTCTGACCAAGAGCTAAACAGCATAACTTTAAGAATAAAAATTTCAGAAATCCTGGTGAGATAACTTATTTTTTTCAATGGTTTTGAAGCACTTCTCATGTTGACAGGGGTTTGTGTATTAAGTAAGCTGAGGTGAGAGGTCGGTGGTCCCTCAGGGTCTCTGTCCTTGAGCAGGGGCCACCTGGCTGCCCAGCCGCATGCTGTGTTACCTGCTTACTGAATGTGTACGACATAAAGTGGGCTTTCATTCACTTATTGTGCTAGATACCCACACATTGTGATAAAATTGAAGCGAGTGGAGGCTTGCAACTACTTCAGAAGATGTACCAACTTCACAAGGACTGCCCCAAAGTACAGAGAAATATAATACGTATCATTGGAAATATGGCTTTGAACGAACATCTTCATTCAACTATAGTTCAATCAGGTAACAACTTTATATGCTGAGGATTTGGGATCCAGTTCTTTGTTTTCCTACCTCCACCTCTCCTGATATATTCATTTTTCAACTGACTGAAGACTGCTTAGGGCAAGTTATAGGTCCTACAGCATGTTGTTTTAGTGGTGGGGCAAGGAATTGCTTAGTTATTTGGATAATCAACACCTAAGATAATCAGTGTATGGCAATCACATGAGAGCAGTTTTTGCTGATGACCATCTAAATGTTTATATCTTTGATAATGAATGATTGTTAGTGACCAAGATCTGGGTGCTCTGTGTGCTTATTGCTCCTGGGGTGTTTTTATTCTTGACTTTTTCAGTGGAAAAAGCTGTGATAAAAACACACACACATACATACATATCTACATACATACCTGCACATGTACAGTTGACCCTTGAACAACATGGGTTTGAAGTGTGCGGGTCCACTTATGTGTGGGTCCACTTATATGTGGATTTTTTCAATAAATACCTGTACTATTTTAGATCCACCATCCGAGTCCGTGGATGCCAGAGCTGACTGGCTGCGTTGATCTATGCCAGGTTTATAGGGACTTGAGCATCCATGGATTTTGGTATCCGAGGGGCCCTAGAACCAATTCCTGGCAGATACTCAGGGGCAACTTAAGTTTCTGAAGACTCTAAAATTATATGAAGATCTTCAATAGTGTGGTTGGTGGGACCAGTGCCCCTAACCTCTTCACTGGTCAAGGGTCAACTGTTTATACGTATGTTCTTACATTTACATATATTAGAAATTAAGAATTTACGTTTCTTCCTATGAAGGACCACTTACAAATAAATTTTATTTGTTCCTCTTTTTATAGGTTCTTAAGATAGAAACTTAGATCACTGATTTTAACCTTTTCCTTGTTTCAATTATATATTACTGTACTATGCATCAAGCCATTTCAGAACGCACTTGTTAAAACAACAGTTACGTATTTTGCTCATAAATCTGAAATTAGGGCAAGGCGGTGTAGGGAAAGGTTACACCTGCCCTGTGCAGCATCAATTGGGGCAGCTCAGCTGTGGGGCAGTGGATGCACTTTCAAGATCACTTGCTCACAGGGCTGGCAAATTGGTACTGGCTGTCAGCTGGGAGCTCAGTGGGGCTGGGGACATTGGCTCCTTTCCGCCAATGCCCGATGAAAGCCAGGTAGGCCTAGGGCCATCATTTTCAGTCTGAAACCTCTGCACCACCTGAGATGGATGATGGGGACCAGGAGGTGTGTTCTCTTCACCAGGCTGGGTTTCCTTACTGGCAGAAGCACTGAAGTCTCACCACATTGTGGAGGCCTCACATGCCGCCAGAACCCTGGCTAATCTAGACCGAGAGACGGTGCAAGAAAAGTACCAGGATGGCGTGTACGTGCTTCACCCCCAGTGTCGCACAAGGTAAGAGAGCAACTGTCCCCGCAGGGACAAAGGAAAGCCTACAGGGCTTACCGTTTAAATTGATTTCTGCATAATTTAGAGAAGTTAAATACCTTCCAGGTAAGAAAGTCACATACCTGATATACGGAACGTTTGTCCTCATCACCTCAGAAGAATTGCAGGCTGCCACAGGGCGTGGAAGGAGCCAAGTTCTCAGGGTTATTTTACATGAAAGGCTTGCGTTCAGGAAGGCAGCCTTCACCTCGCATTACAGGTCACACTTAAACTGTGCGTGTATTTCTTTGTCTCAGAGCACTTTCCCCATAGATTTAATAACTGATCCAGATTGTACAGGTCGTTCTGGATGGGAAGGAGATAGGACATTATTATTTATATGCAGGCAACCAAATTAGCCTGGGCCTAGACCTCCAGGGACTGGAAGAAGTTTATGCCAGGTTTAAAAGCATGCGCTGGAAGCAGTAAGTTGTAATAAATCTGACTCTCACTCCTCCTCAAGGTGATTTCTGGCCAACTTTTCCAGTTGTGTCATTGACAGAAAGGACCACAGTGAAAAAGTTAGATATTTCTTGGATTTTGTCAGACACTTTAAAATAGTAACTCAGGCCGAAACCGATTTGGCTCAGTGGATAGAGCGTCGGCCTGCGGACTGAAAGGTCCCAGGTTCGATTCCGGTCAAGGGCATGTGCCTGGGTTGCGGGCACATCCCCAGTAGGAGATGTGCAGGAGGCAGCTGATCGATGTTTCTCTCTCATCGATGTTTCTAACTCTCTATCTCTCTCCCTTCCTCTCTGTAAAAAATCAATAAAATATATAAAAAAAAAATTATAAAAATAAATAAATAAATAAATAAATAAATAAAATAAAATAGTAACTGAGAAAAGAGCAAAATCTTTTTTTTTTTAATTTGAAAAATGGATTGCCTGCTTAATCCCAATTTGTAAGTAAAATACTATGGTGTTTGTGTGTTGCATAGTTGTGCGTGCCCTATAAAAAGATGTAAGTAATATACTATCTACATATTTTAAATATCATATCCAAAGAAAGAATATTACTTTAAAATGTCATTTGCAGCCGGCTGGAGTGACTCGGTTGAGTGTCATCCCATGAACTGAAAGTTCACCGATTCGATTCCCAGTCAGGGTAGATGCTCAGGTTGCAGGCTCGCTCCCCAGCAGGGGTTGTGCAGGAGGCAACCAATTGATGGTTCCCTCTGACATCAATGTCTCTCTCCCCTTTCCCTTCTTCTCTCTCTAAAATCAATAAAAACATATTTTTTAAAAAGTCATTCGTTCTATTTCTGATAAACATCCTTGATAACTTTTTGAAAATCTCTTTATGCACGCTGACTTTGAAACTACTCTAGCATATTCTTATTTAATTTTTTAAATACTTATTGATTTATGGGACAGTCTCATGGAATTCTCTGTAGGGCAATCTGACATGTGTCACTTCTCTCATCACTTGACTCACTGCAATTGATTTTAGTTGGTTCGTCTGGCTAGATGTCCCCATTTCTATAGAGCAGAGAGCACACTCCGTGCATGGCTTTGCCAAAACTCCTTGTAGGGTTCTTCAGCAAACCTGCGCTCTAAAGCTCGCCTTCATTTTTATTTTATGTCCTGTAACCCTGCTAAGCACCATCCACAGAGTGTGCTCTGTAGATTCTCACCAAAACAATAATGTGTTCATTCTGCTTCTTTTTAAAACTCTCTCCCCTGTTAGTCAGCCCATTAAAGCAGATGTCCTTTTTATTCACGGCCTTATGGGAGCAGCATTCAAGACGTGGCGTCAGCAGGACCAGGCGCTAACTGAAAAGGTTTCAGGGGATGAAACCAGGTATACAACATGTTGGCCCAAGGTAAGGATACAGCCGACTCTGGTAGCCCACCTTTGGAGCCCTCATTGTGACTTGCTTTTCTATTTTTACTGGGATTTTTTTCTATGCAGTGTTTCTTTCCCCTAGTGACACCTGTGGTATGTTACAAGAACAGCTGGGCTTGTCACCTTGTGTAATTTAGGGTACAGTCTATGACTCTAAGAGACTATTCCAATAAGTAAAAAACAGGGACCAGGGCCAGTTATCATTCACTTCAATTAAAAATATAATACAGCCCTACCTGCTTTGGCTCAGTGGATAGAGTGTTGGCCTGCAGACTGAAAGGTCCCAGGTTCGATTCTGGTTAAGGGCACATGCCGGATTTGTAGGCTCGATCCCCAGGAGGGGGCATGCAGGAGGCAATCAATCAACGGTTCTCTTTCATTGATGTTTCTATCTCTCCCTCTCCCTTCCTCTGAAATCAATAAAAATATATTTTTAAAAAAATATATATGTAACAAATAAGATATTACATGCATGATAGTTGGCTAGTTCTATGATTTTAATAATGATAAAAGTAGAAGGACTTTGAAGAAGTAATTCTACTTTGGATTTCTTTGACATTGTTTCATCCAAAGAGCCTTAACCCTGAGATGCAGTCCCTGAGTGGAAGCTATTGAAGCTCAGTGACATGGTGCTGGGAGCCTGTGGAGAGAGTTCCCAGGGCTTGTCCCACTCTGCTCACTCCCCTTCACAAAGGCCTGTCATGCAGCAGAATGGCTTTTACTCGGTGGTGACATTGAGGTGTGGGATAACGACAGCCTGGTCCATGGAGACAGAACTGGGACTGTACTGAGTGTCTGAGTGCTCGGGTCGAGTCTCTTAACCATCAGACCACACTGTCGGTCCTGAGGTCGTAGCTGTCTGTGAAATGCTTTCAAAAAGCCAATTTGATCCAGACTCAAAAACAGGCCTTGCTTCTGGCTGTAGCAGATTAAAACAGAGTATCCTCTGGAACCTACACTGGCCTTACGCTATCAATACTGATGCCACCTGTGACCAGAGACATGAAAAGATAAAACGCTGGCCCTTTTTTCTAGTCAGTGCGATATTTAGTCAATATCGCAGGAGTCCTTTAGTTATGCATTTCGGTTACTAGGAAATAACAGGGGCGGTGGGAATTCATAATGTTCTTTTGTGCCTTTTATTTTACGTAGACATGGTTAGCAAAAGACTGTCCCGCTCTCCGAATTATCTCTGTGGAGTACGACACCAGCCTTAGCGACTGGAGAGCGAGGTGCCCGACAGAAAGGTAACGGAAGCTTTGGAAGGCGAGGGCCCAGGCCACAGGTGGGCCCTCAGGGGTGGAGACAGGATTTTCTTATGGGAACTAACCTTTCTTCTCTCTATTCTAGAGGAGTTAGCCAGGCATACATTAACGAAACAGACTTAGGTAGAGTGTCAGTGTTGGGCTCCTCACGTGGTTCACTTACAGCTATTCTAGTGGAAGGACACGGACCCCATAGCAAAGCATCCTTTACCCCTGAAGTGAACGTGGTGCTTTTGCTTTTGTGTTCTCAGTCATACTGGCTAAAGGAAGCAAAGAAAACGATGCTGAGCAGTACAGGCTCCTTAGGGCATTCGCATGTCACCTGTGCGATTGTATCACAGGAAGGATACCGGCCTTCGGCTTAGGACCTAGCCAGGGGTCCTCAAACTTTTTAAACAGGGGGCCAGTTCACTGTCCCTCAGACTGTTGGAGGGCCGGACTTTAGTTTAAAAAAAAACTATGAACAAATTCCTGTGCACACAGCGGCGGCAAAAACACCCGGCGGGCCGGATAAATGTTTTCGGCGGGCCGCATGTAGCCCGCGGGCCATAGTTTGAGGACCCCTGATCCTAGACTGTAGCCGGTTCTACCTCTGACTCACTGTGTGATCTTAGACAAGTCATTACTTGTCTGGAGAGCTTGGTCTACAACTTGGGAGACTCGGCCTGAGTCTGGGGGTTCTGAATGGCCCCCACGGAGGTGCCCGAGGAACGGTGCCGAGGGCAGGGAGACAGGACCAGGGCTCCTTCCCACTTCACCCAAGAACTCTGACCAGCCTTTATTCTGAAGAAAGGATTCTACAGGTTGGAAACCACCAGACCAGACAGTTTTGACACTCCCGCTTTGAAAATTACTTATTTTGAATGCTCTCATTCTAATAGCTTTCTGGTATTCTAAGTAATAAATTATAATAATGTTTTCAGCCTCAATACAACAACGACTCAGTACAATGACAGCTGCCTTCATGTAGCGAATCACAAAAGAGGGGCCACGAATGAGAAAGGACCCATGTCCTGGTGCGGGGGCAGCTGGTGTGAGACTGACCTTTGACCTGTGAAAATTGCCAAACTTATATTAGATGCTCAAACAATGCTTGTTTAGTACATGAATGGCTTGTTCTGGGCTTAGATACTCCCAACTATGCCAGTGACGAAGTTAGAAATGGGCAATGAGCAATTGCAGAAGGTGAGCAGAGAGAATAGGGGTATTCCTGACTCCAGATGTAGCACATAGCACTGCTCCAATAAACAAAAGTTCTTGCCTTAGAACTAGATAGCAAACTTTGGGGCGATCAATAGCCTCCTGTCATGCCTGCTGTTTTCATTTTGTTCAGAAAGTCCATTGCATTCAGGAGCAACGAACTTCTTCAAAAACTCCGAGCTGCTGGTGTTGGGGACAGGCCGATGGTTTGGGTGTCACACAGCATGGGGGGTAAGTGCGTGTCATTTCTGTGGAGCGAGCATTGTGAGGGTACTGTCAGCCATGCGGGCTGCCTGAGTTCCTGCAGCTCTCTGTTTACTCGAGAGTGACCCTTTCCCCCTAAACAAATGTTTCTGGTACAGCGAGGAGTTTTTAAATTACTGTTCTTCCGTGCTAGTCCTTTGTCAAGAAGGGACAACCAGTGACAAACCATATAAAAGGGATATGAGTTTGACAACTTAATGCTGTCATGTAATGATAATGAATAACCATCAGAACAGCCCCTGGCTTCTACAAGCCTGACTCGTAACTGTTCCTGCTGGTCCCAGGGCTCCCCTTTCTTCCCTGCACCCCAACCACTGCAGAGGCCATGACTGTTCTAGTGCCACAGCCATAGCCCCTTGGTGCCTGCTTACCCGGCCCTGCAGGTGTCTGCTCTATGACTCCTTGTGTCGCTTGCTGATGGCCATCTCCTCCCAGCCCTCTCCCCAGTCCAGTTCCAAATCTTACCACCTGCTCGCAGAGGGCCTTTCTGAAGCTGCTGCCTAGTTCACCTGCTGAAATGCTCAGGGCGCTGAGTGCAGGCATTCAGCCGAGAGGAAGGTAGTGCCGCCATCTCTGTGACCTTGGGTTTCATTACTGGCTCCATGCCCGTCGGGGAGACAGAAGGCGCCTTCTGGGTGCATTTCCCACAGGAGCTTGTTTTTCACAGAGAGTCGGCTTTGTGGGACAGTGTTTTTGGAATATTAGTACTGTCCTAACGGAGTGGGCATTGGTGGGCTGCTGTGGCAGGAGGGGGAGATTTTCGCTTCATTGATGGACACATAACAGACCTGAAACGCCTTCTGTGGGACAGTGCAGTCTGGGATACAAATGAGTTTCTAGAATCTTGTTTGTAGGTGAGATTCTGATCCAGAGGATAGTGAATATCATCCACTGTCGATATTTTGAGGTCCTGTTTATTCTGAAACTTTAAAGAAAGCATCTCTTTCTCCGTATTTCTTGTTTTGTATATTTTGGGTTTTAAGAGTAATGGAGGGAAGGAAATAGCTTCTGTCTTTGTTGTCTTCTCCACGGCCAGGTCTTCTTGTCAAGAAGATGCTGTTGGAAGCGTCTCAGAATCCAGAGATGAGCACTGTTATTGACAACACCCGAGGGATAATCTTCTACAGCGTCCCTCACCACGGGTCCCACCTGGCCGACTACTCTGTCAACGTCCGCTACCTTCTCTTTCCCTCGTTGGAAGTCAAGGAACTCAGCAAGGGTAACACTGATTTTCTGTCCTGAGGGAAACTGGGATTGTATTAATGTCAATTACCTGGGAAGGGAGAAAAAAGACAGTTTCTAACCTGACGATATCATCTCGTTTTACTATTTGTATATGAATTGTGTTTAGACTATCACGAAAAATGTTTAGTTTACATTTGATTTTTCTTTGATACTTTCCCTTTTTGCCTTAAGCCATTATTTGTTCAAATATAATAATTTTAATACTATGTGAAATGTTTAAAAATTTAAAAGTTATATAATGTTTTGCTTTAAGTATAATTCCAAATTACCAATTAATTGCTTTTTCCCATGAATTTGAAAAATCATCAACTGTTAAAATATGCTCAAGCGTTGAAGATTTTCACCTTACCAACTGTAAAGCATTATATACAGGGCGGGGCAAAAACAGGTTTACAGTTGTTCACATGGAAACTAACAAATAATAATACAAGAGTAAACTCTGTTTGCATAGTCACAGCTGTCAACCTCCTTTGGCCCAGCCTGCACTTGCTTTCGTTAGTAAGCGTTTTCTTTTTCTCTGGAGGACCCGTGGATCAGAATGTGGAGCCCTCGGCTTGAGCTTAATGCGCCAGATGTCTTTTTATTCCTATTTTCTCTCACCTTTATGCAGAGAGAGTTACTTTATCTTCTGAACCTTTCGTTGAATTTTATTTTTTGCAGTCAAATGTTATTTTCATAAGCTCTTTCTTGTTCTTTGATCCATTATCTTTTGTCTCTTTCTAAAGAGACAAATTAGTGGGAGGTTTAAGTTTCCCTGTTTCTTCCCCAGTCCGGTTTTCTGTTTGCTCCTCGGGTCTGACTTTAGGCTGTCAGCTTTCCTCTGATATCCGGTGCTTCTTGGTTGTCCTTTCGTACTTGAGGCTGAGGGACTCTGATGTAGACAGGCTTTGGTATGGGAGGCTGTGCTGTAGGGTGGGTGTGGGGTGCCAGCCAGCTCACGGGGGGTGGGGGGGGCAAGTCCCACACACTGGGGGCTGCTTCCTGTCAGCAGTAATGTGGGAGCTCTCCCCCCGACACTGGCCACTCAGTTCTGCGTTTAGCCCTCTGCTCTCAGCTTAAGGAAGGAGAGACAGTAAAGGAGCCACCATCTGAATTAGAACCCTGATTTTCCCTCTCAATTTGGAAGGTTGTATTTTATTGTGAATTGGATAAACAGAACCTGTCATGGTCTTAGTCTCTGTAATTTTACAGATTCTCCTGCGCTTAAGGCACTACAGGATGACTTTCTGGAGTTTGCTAAAGACAGAAACTTCCAGGTGCTGAGTTTCGTCGAGACCCTGCCAACCTCCATTGGGAGCATGATTAAGCTCCACGTGGTGCCCGTGGACTCAGCAGGTACTCCCTCTGCAGAAACTTGTTGGCCATTAGACACCTAGTTGGTGATACTTAGCATTTAATGATAAGCGTCACCTTTTATATTTAGTTTCTCAGTTTTAGGGAGATCTAGATTCTAGTCCTGTTATTCTTTTCAGCCACAGACTGACATTTCTCTGCAAACATATAACCTTGGTATTACCACTCCCCGCCCTTCATTTAGTTGATTAGGTGGCAAAGGTTAATTGGCTAACTCTAAATTAGCCATCAACAGTGAACTCTTAAGGTAAGAATACAAAACCCTTCTATTAGCTAGACTGAAAGGGGCATTTCATTTAAAAGACTGATAACTGCATGCAGAAACCTTAAAGATCAACTAAAGGTAGGGAGGCTTTAGTAAATAAATGGAAGATATATGGAATATTCAACAAAGATTTTGATGGAAAAAACTGTTAAAAATAGAATTTCCTCACAATCCCGAAGGTAAGGGAATGACCAGTACCTGCTGCTATAGTGTATTGCACTGTGCCATAGGCTCTTTGAGAGTAGGGTCCGAATCTTCATTCTCCTTGTGGCTCCTTGATGACTCCGTGATGGTAGGTGACCATGCCCGTCACTCCCCGGACTCCTCAGCTTGCTGTGAAACCCTTTTCTGATCACCCGGGAAGCGGGCTTAGGTGCTGTCCTGGGAGCCCGCAGCGCTCCCTGCAGCCAGGGACAGTGTGTAGCTGGAGCACTCGCTGGGTGGCTCTTTGGTTTGCATAACATGTTTTGTCCGAACCTCCTTACATGCTACCTAAATAAAATGAAAAGCCTCAATACTCTAGTGAAACCTAAAGATGGTTTTTCTCCAAGAATGTGCCATAGGATGAGCAGTTACTATTTAGTAGTTGGAGAGCTCAAGGAACAGCTTCTGGTATTTACCAAAAAGGACTTTGGAAGCTTAAACCAAAAGCAAAGTTAATATTATAGATTAACTGCTTGTGGTGACATAGCCTCATCATAATTCCGTGTGCACCTTCTTCTGTGTCACCAGGAGGCTCTCTTCCTCCCACACCACCACCAGCAGCCCGGGTATGGGTAGCATGGACCCCATGTGAGAGATTCCCATTCTTCATACTGGGACAAGGGGGCTCATTCATGATCAAGTTTTATAATATAAACTCTGGAAAAAAGTGTTTCTATTATATTATAGTGATCAGGCCCTATTCACTACTAAATTAGGAAGTAGGCCAGAACACAAATGAATTTATGAAGCATAAATTATACCTGCTGAGAATCCTTTCGGGCATGATTACTCAAATATAGTTTAGCTACAGTGAAACTTAGCTACAGATCCTTATCTTTTAAGAGTCCCTGCCACAACCAAATGAACATTTAGAACTGAAAATCTGGCCTCTTTCCGTATTGATAGGGGAGAAGCTTACATTTTTACTTAGATGTTATTCACATTTTTGTTTTCTTCAGATTTAGGCATTGGAGATCTAATTCCTGTGGATGTGAACCACCTGAACATTTGTAAGCCAAAGAGAAAGGATGCCTTTTTGTACCAGCGTACCTTACAATTCATCCGTGAAGCTTTAGCCAAAGACCTTGAAAACTGACCATTAAATTACCTTCCATTTTTCATGTGAACACAGTGCAAGAAGCTTGGTGGTCTCTTTCGAAGCAATCATGCAGACACAGCCACTGTGGCATCAGCGTGGTCTGGAGCATGTTGCAGGCAACAACACTGCAAAGCACAAGTGCAGAAGTGGCAATCAAAGAAGGAAGGGCAGACGGATTCTTTCGATTTCAAGGAGCTCCATGTGTGCCAGTTTATGCTGTGAGGTGTTGTCCCTGGTGAACAAGCTGCTGTGGGTAGAGAATACCTTTTGTCACCTGTGACTGTCTATAGCTTACCCTTGCGGAGCACTGATGGCTTCTGAAGGGATAGCGAATCGTCAGCTTACCATAACAATGCTATTGGGAGAGTACCTAGAATGGGCAGGAGAATGATCTAGAACATAAAGGACTGTTTTTGTTCTGGGATTCCATGTGCTGTAAATTTTTACTAACATGTAAGTGTAAACCTTTGTCTAACATGTTAACTGTTGGACCTGTTGCCAGTTATGGCTCAGTTCCTTGTACGTTTTTATTTTCATACGGCTGAGAACAGATATTTCTCTTCAAAAAATCTAGCTTACAGAAATTCTTTCCAGACTTTAGCTACCTATACTTGTATTTTTCCCAGATAAAGTAGCTAATCCATTATTGATCACAGTGTGAATAAAACTATTCTAAGCCATTATATAGATTAGTAATACTTAGTATCAAGATTCTCAGATTCTCTTGAGGCCAAGTAAAATATCCCTTTCTTTCCTGCTCCTTTGACCTCCAGCAAGTGAGAAATAGGAAATCATGTTGACTTTTTCTAAATAATGGCATTATTGAGATATAATTCACATTTCATAATATTTACCCTCTTAACTCAAGGTTGTTTATTTTTAGTATATTTACAGAGTTGTGCAGTCATCGCCACTGATCTCAGAACATTTTTATCATACCCCCAAATAACCCCATATCCCGTAGCAATCACTCCTCACCTTTTCTCCCCCCAGCCCTGGCAAACACTAATCTACTTCATCTCTATGGATTTGCCTGTTTTGAACTTTCATATAAATGGAATTATACACTATGTGCCCTTCTATGTCTGGCTTCTTTCTCTTAGTATAATGTTTTCAGGGTTCATCCATGAGGAAGCATGTATCGGGGCTTCGTTCCTTTTTATGGCCAAGTAATATTCCATTGTATGGATATACCACACTTATTCATCAGTTGATGGCCATTTAGATTCTTTTGAATTTGAGGGTATTATGCTGCTTGAACATTCATGTACATTTTTGTGTGTGTGGATGTATGTTTTTCATTCTCTTGGATGTATACTAGGAGTGGAATTGCTGGGTCTTATTAAGCTCACTAGAGGCCTGGTGCATGAATTTGTGCATGGGTGGGGTCTGATCTGGCCAGCCTGCCCCAATCGGGGCGATTGGGTGAGGCTGGTTGGGGGGAGGAGCTGCAGGCAGTTGGCCGGCCAGTCCCGCCCCCTGGTTGAACTCCCAGTCGAGGGGACATTTTGCATATTAGCCTTTTATTATATAGCAGCGGTTCTCAACCTGTGGGTCGCGACCCCTTTGGCAGTCGAACGACCCTTTCACAGGGGTTGCCTAAGACCATCCTGCATATCAGATATTTACATGACGATTCATAACAGTAGCAACATTACAGTTATGAAGTAGCAACGAAAATAATTTTATGGTTGGGTCACAACATGAGGAACTGTATTTAAAGGGCCAGAAGGTTGAGAACCACTGTTATATAGGATATAACCATTTTGAAGATGATGGACATTATAGAATGGGGTAGTCAAAGCTAAAACGAGTACAGAATCTATAGGTAAACAGGTCATCAGCATCTAATGGTTTAATTATGCAACAACCTAACAAGTGACTTAACCACTGTGTTATTGTGTAGATACAGTGAATGCAATGGTTATTAGCTAACAATAGTAAGTAACAACAATAAATGCTAGCTAATGGGATGATATGGGGAGAAAGGGTAGATATATTTGGTTCATTTGCTTTTCCTGTTATCCATGAACCATGGCAGGTAAAAAACATGGTTGAAATAATTGTTCATTAACTTAGAGTAATGCAGTGAAACCCCACTCCTTAAAATCCCTAGATAGCTGTTATAGCTGTGCTTTTAAAATAAGGTCTGGGAGAGAGATCCAGTGTAGTACTAGATTACATAGTTTTTCAGGCAAGTCACTTAACATTTCTTTTTATTCTGCCTATGAAATGGATATAAATGTACACAGGCTGACTTCATCAGTTTTGTGATAGTTAAGTCAATGTTTTTAAAGTAATCATTGCATGAATAATACTTTAAGAACACAAAGTATGAAAACATGTATTTGAAATAGTTTCAAACTTAGACCATCAGTAAAACGCTCTGGGAGTTTGATCAGTTTTGTTTAAATACCCTTTCTGGAAAAAAAATTCAAATGAAGCTTCATAGCGCCTTCTCCCTCATGTGAAAAGTACTTTTTATGATCTTGTTTAAGAAGTAAACAGAATATAGGTGTTACAGAACAAATTACTGAAAATGAAAAGTCAATTATTCTTACTTATAACCTATTTCTTTCTTTCTGGTTACATTTCCCCCAAACCTACCAGATTACATTGTCAGCCCTAAATTTCAAGGGCACCGAGGCCCCCTTACCCCAGGGTTTAAATTAAATGTCGCCACAGAAAGAGACTACAAAAAGGAGGATCATGATACCTTTCTCGACAGCATCTCGACCAGTCACCCAGGTTACGCTGACACGCAGAATATGGTGGAAGATGCAGGCCTCTGCCCTGTGGATGCCTGAGGGTGGGGGACACCAGCATTTACTTCCTAGTGAGAAAAATAGTGCAGTAATACAGTGATGTGTCACAATTCACAATGCCCCTCAAACTCAAATTCCTAAAATTTGAGTTTTAGGCATACCTTCCTGAATTTTCACTCCTTCGTAATATCAAATATATTGAATGAGTTTGTTTTTATTGACATTTGGTATAAAAATTATGTCCATGAAAAAATTGAAACATGTTCAATAAATGTCACGTTAAAGTACTGACTACAACTGATTGTGCCCTTGTATTGGATGTTGAACACTCCCAATAGCTAATCACTTAAAGTCTATTAGAAATTTGTTTATGAAAAGTGACATTTTATTATGAACTAGAGGCCCTCTGCTGGCCTGTGCCCTCTCACAATCTGGGACCCCTCGGGCGATGTCGGGTAGCTGGTTTCAGCCTGATCCCCTCAGGCCCGATCCAGACAGGAGGGAGCCCGATCCTGTGTTGTACATCTGTCCCATAGTGGTTGTTGTGCGTCATAGCGACTGGTTGACCAGTCATTTGGTCACTTAGGCTTTTATATATATTACCTTAATAAAGCAGAAGACATAAATCAGTTTAAGAAATTTTCAAATTTAGAACAAGCCATTTCTTGTAAAATTTCCACTTCTTAATCTGTGTTCAACTTGGCCTTGGAGTTTAAAAACATGGCCATGGAGCTCAGTACCTGGTCCCCGAGTTGGGAAACACTAAACTTACTAGAATCTGATTTTAGTTTAATCCAAACTTCACTGCATAATCCATGGATGTAGAAGTGGGGTGGTGAGGGCCTGGGGCCAGGGGCCAGGGTAGACTGGAGGGGGTCCATGGGGGAAAAAAGGAGACGTGTAATACTTTCAACAATAAATATTTTTTTAAAAAGAAATGAGAAGCCATTTCAACTGATAACACAAATACTAAAGATCACAAGAGACCAATATGAACAATTATACATCCAACTATCTCTTAGGAAGATAATGTAAGACCCCCCCCCCCCCCCACACACACACACACCATTTATAAACTATATTCCAGGTGCTTTGAAGAGTTTCTGTTAGCCCAGGCAAAGCCTTTAATTTTTTTTTTTTTAAATAACACATGCTAAATTTTTAAATGTTTTTTTTCAATTGATTTTTAGAGAGACAGGAAGGGAAAGGGATAGAGAAACAGAGACATCATTGATTGGCTGCCTCCTGCATGCCCCTTACTGGGGGGTCAAGCCTGCAACCCAGGTATGTGCCCTGCCGGGGAATCAAACCAGTGATCTCTTGGTTCATGGGTGGATGCTCAACCATTGATCCACATCGGCCTACAAAGCCTATAGTCATAACCACTCTAACACAGATTTGTTTAGGTTTCTGTTACCCACTACCCACTATTATCTACAGAATAAAATCCTAAACTGTCACTTAAGTCCTCTGAAGTTCTTTCCCATAGCTAACATCCTATCCGTGTACATAAATCCACTTTGCTACTTGTCAGATCCTTAATCCTCGCCACTCAAATGTTCCCTGGCCGTGTGCTCACACTCATTTGTACTCTCCTACGTCACTGAGTTAGAGGTGATTCCATAGACACAAACAGTTGGCCTCGTAAGGGAGTGTTAAACCTCTCTCCCCCACGACCTTGGAAAAGAAAGTATCATAACCAGCGGTTTCCTCCTCCCCAACCGAGCCCAGGGCTGTGCAATCAGGTCAAAGGACTTCAAAATGGTACTTACTGGGCAGGAAGGACTAGCCATCTTTATTATTTCGAGATTGTCAGTATATTCTGATTCCTGAAAGTCATCAGAGAACATTTTTAATATGTTTTTTATATTAATGAGCTGAAAACCAACCTAGACAGAACATGAACATAGTTTACTCTCTTCTGCCTCGACATAGTAATGCACTCAAACCAATCTAGCAGTCTAAGATTGCAAGTTTGCTATAAGATCCTACAGAAAATGAATTCTCGCATCTCACATCTTATAAATACTACAGCTTAAAGTTATTATGTATGGTGTCATAGTGGTCCCTACTGGCATTATTCAAGTCACAAATTCTTAACCAAATTATGCTTTTTCAACTCAGTCTGATGGTTGGAAAAAAAAACAAAAACAAACCCAAAACTCAACAAAGGAATAACTAGCAGTCACATTTCATCCAGAACAGAAGGCTGGCCAAAAAAGCTAGCCCAAGATTCTCTTCATATCTAGTAAGAAATAGGCAAATTACAAAACAAAGACAAACCATTTAATAGATTTTTTTTTTTTACAATTTCAGTACAAATGAGCACTTCAAATAAACATTACAGGGTTTTTATTAATTGCCAGTCAGTCAATAAATAATTTTTGTGGCTTTCCTTTCTGATGAAATAAATCACTTTGTTATAAAGAGAATGTTTTAATACATTACTTTGCTTATACACATAGGAGCATTCAATTAAGTGTCTTGAACTTCAACAACTTTAACACTTTTACAGGAATTGCTTAGACAGATGTCCTAATTCCAGTAATTTACTGGAATAATTTTTTAATAAATAGCCAAGAAGTCGGAGATGACATTGTACCAGGGAAGACAGCGATTGGAGTCACAGAGAGCGTGTTGAGTGGTAAAGTGCCTTTCCTAAAACACGGGACCACAGTGAACTGCAACATCTTACAGAAAAGTAATGAAATAAACGACAAGGTCACAGTAAAAAGCCCCCAAAAATACAAACCCCACAGAATGACATCCCCGGATGCAGCTGCTCACTGGAGGTTATTCAACTGCCCCTAACCTAGGAAACCTACAGCTATGAAGCATCAATTTAAAAAATAAATAAGGCAATGCTAATTGCCTTCTTAAGAGGAAGTTGGTGTGAGAGCTTCATGCATCAACTCAAAACCCACTCTATGTGCTGTTCACTGAACGTGAACACCTGTGATCAAATAACATTTGTTCAATTCTTCATGTTAAACTACTCGTCCTTTTTCTTGTGGCCTGCGTCCCGAGGCCCACACAGTTCTGTGTGTTACTACTTCCTGTTGGATTCCTAAGTGCTACTTGTGTGACGAGCACCTGTTTCGAGATTCAGTTCCTGTACCACTCACTGGCTACTGGTTTTCTAGAACAAAGAAGTAACTTGAGAATTAGGCCTGTTCCCAGCATTGCAAGCAACTGTTGTGGTACTGACTTTCCCCTGCTTTTCTAACTGATGGTTACATGTATCTGCTTTCAAATTCACCTCCTTTTGGTGGGAAAAAAAGGTTATAGAAAAAAAGAGTGATTGC